AGTAAAATTAGTGATCTACGATTAAAATAAACATTAAATGGACGTTATATAATTTTCACTGCTCAATAAATAACAAGAAAAAAAAAATAAGAGAAGCAAAGAAAATGTGGTCAGACTAACATAAAAATTAATTACAGCATATTAATTTATGAAATATACCAAGTACGCAGACAAAAAAACAGAAAGTATTAAAAAGGATAAATAACCCAAAAAAAACCAAAAGAAAAAAAATTTATGAAAACTTTTCAACAAAAGATTAAAATTATGTGAAAAAAAAAAGAAAAATATTAGTGAAAGAGTTGAAGGCACCAAACCAAATGTACATAGGCGTGTGATTGTATAGAGAACCTTTCATTTATAGTGTGAAATATTATATTTTATATAAAAGAAATTTTAAAGTCTGCCTATAATTATGAGAGTGTGTTAGTGTCGTATGCATCCGTTAATTAAAAATAATTTAATGTTGGCTTTAAAAAGGACATTGAAATTGACATTTTCCCTTTTTTTTTTTTTAATTATAATTTTCATATTATTTTAATGATTTTACCATTAAATAACACTCAGTAAAAAATATTAAAGCAATTACAGTTATAATATGAATGAACACACTTATGGCAATTTTGGGTACCATATATCACTTTAATATTAATTTCAAGGAACTCTGAGTACGTTATTGTCTCTGTGATATATATAAAAAATACTTGCATAGGGGAAATTAAGGATAATTTTCTGATTTCGAGTAAATAGTGAAATATTTTTCGAAATTGAATGAAATATTGAAATATTAAAGGCACGAAAGTATGAAGTAGGAAATTGAAACCTCTACTCGAATATGATACTGATTAAAAAGTAATAACATTGTGAAGGCATGTGATACTTTTCTGGATATATATTGTAACTAGATTTACAGTGAAGAGAAAATATGTGGAAAAAGTTAAAAATTTTATTTTTATAACAAATTGCACATCGTTACCTGTATCCCATAAACTATTTTAAGAATATACTGGCGTAGATTCAACAATTTTTTAAAAAATCTTTTCGGACCGCATAAAAAAATTTCTTCGCCACACTAACTGTGTGCTTCAAACAGTGATTATTCGAAAAATCATAAACTTTTGAGTAATAATTGACTTTGACTCAACACCTTCTCTTATCAGTAGAACCAATCCGTTACTAATCTACATTGATTCATATGACATAGTTTGAACAACACGTCCTTTTTAATGTAGTACCTACGAGTATAATTTAAGTGTATACATAATGTACAATAATGAAGGCTTCCAAAAAATATTCCTAGTATCCCCTATAAGTATGCTAAGTATTGCATGTGTGTACTAAGTGTGTAGTTGATATATATATATGTATACGTTTGTATTTTTGTTGAATTATTGTCAATAACAAAAGCGTTAGATCCGGACCTTTTTTTTTTTTTTTCTTAAATGCTGTTATAATTGATACCCTTTTAAAGGATTAAAATTTATTTTTTGTTAATTTCATTTTTCTTAATTTTTCTTTTGGTTTTTTCCTTTCTTTTTTTTTCGGTTTAATTTGGAATAGAAGAATTAAGCAAGTAACTGAAAAATTGTGGAGAAAAAGTTTTGTTTTTTGAAGAAAAAATTTTTACTTTACACTATACGAAATTCTCAGAAAATAAAGGAAAAGGAAATAAGAAGAAAAAATAAGAAGAAAAAGTATGAGAAACACAAAAATTGTAAAAGAATTTTTTCGTTCTTTTTATTTTTTTTTTGTTGTTGTTTTCTTTTAAGAATTATTGAAAATTTTCCATATACTCTGTCATATAATTTGAGTGTACGTAGACACACTTTGGCTTCATAAAGTACCTATATAAGCATTGAAAATTTTTTTTTTATTATTTCACAGTCGAGTACTCAGTGTTAATGCCAATTTTTCCTTTTAAATAAAATATTTGAAGATAAAATTAGAAACTGATAATAGTTTTCATTTATAGAGCCGAAATTAGTAGTAGTTATAGTTGTAATATAATTTAAATTGGTAGGTTCTGAAATTGATAATGCCTTGAGTTCATGACAAAGAAAAGTATATATAACAATAAAAACCGAGGAAAAGTTAATCTATTCTCTCTCAATTTAAAGTTTTCCCTATACAGCTCCCACCTAAAAACCATTATGATGGAGACGAGCAAATATTGTATATGTCAAGGTAGATCGTAGCTTTGTAATTTTATATGATCACAATTCTGTGCCTATATTAAAAATTATAGTGAAAATTATTTGTCATAATTTCCAGAACCTACAGAAACAATACATTAATTCTTAACATCTTGAGGAATTCTCTCAAAGGAAACAATGATTCAATAAGATACCGCATTCACGCCTGGAAGTTTTTTTAAATAGCTTTTTCATTGGAAAATAGCTCTTAACTTGGAAAAAAAAGCATAATATAGGCAAGTGCTTGTGCCATATATGTACGCAATATTTTGAAAAGACAAACCAAAGAATTTTCTTTTTCTTATAAATTCAGCAGGATTATTTTGAAAAAGGATTTATGTCTTTTATATACATATATAGAGAAGAGAGAGAGGCAAAACAAAACAAAATTTGTAAACAAATTTTGCATGTGCATGTTAATATTAAATTTTTGTTTGTGTGTGTTTATTCCAATATATTGTTCTTTCTTACGGAAATCATATTTAAGAGCAAATTGAAAATTTTGAATAATTTTTTTTCTTCTTCTTTTACTTCTTCCCTTACATAAAACGAAAAACAGCTGAAAAATTACTGGTTGCTATATGATCCTTTTTTTGCAGTTAATCGAAATTAAATATTAAGATATTTTGAAGTTAAATTAATGTAATAAAGTGGAAGAAATTTGGTTTCTCTATACAAACTCTTAAAGTTTATGGCACACGTTAATTAATTTATTTTAGGTATGATACACTTAAAGAGTATAATTTTCGGTACATAGTACATGTTGCAACCTATATGTAGTGAAGTGCTTTATAAATTAAAATTTTTACGTATAAGAATAATCATGTATAAGAAAATAATCTAGAGGACGTATCATAATGTATTAATGAATACATTTTTGAAATTCAATTGCCTTATTAAAATGCACGTGTTAAATTGATAATTATTGTAGCCATCCGAAAAAACAAACTTTTTTGTTAATAGCCCTTTACCAATTTTTCATTTATAAACAATATTAAATTTTGTATTATGTCTAGAGAAAAAAGTTTATAATACCTCTTTAGTAATAAAATTTTTGTTACATCTACCAGGTACTCGTATAATGAACTTTATATCCTTTTGAAATGCCTATACATTATATATACATATATAACAGTTTAGGTTATCAATGTATTCGTAAAACACAAATCACAAAATTTCAGTACAAAAAAAATGAAAATTTAATATATATTATATGTATTAGGTGATTATATAGGTGTGTTGACAATAAATATAATCTTCATAATATATACTTTATTGTGACAAAAGAAAATTTTATTCATATAATAGAGTATTATTTATTTTAAAGAGTTTTTGGGAAACAGATTATGGTTTGAAAGAGTAAATTTATTTTATAACAAATTATTTTTAAAGTATCTATTTCATATATGGGCTTGGATAACCATAAATAAATTTCAATTCTAAAAATAAAAATCTCAATTGAGAAAAAAATGGGAAATTTAAAACATTGTTGTAAGAATTTTTACATATTTTCATGTATATAATTATTTTGAGTATGAAAAAACTGCTCATGGGAACTGGTCATGCATCACTCCCCGAATTGGAAAATGTGAGAGTATAATATTATTGCATTCGTATTCCATTTACGTAATTTTCAAGTGTGAATTTTTTCGTAGTGCGTGTCTGTCTCTTTTTTTTTTAAATATTATTATATTGGTAAAATTTATCACCTATTCTTCCACCTAATTCTCAAAGATGACAAGCTCTGTCGATTCTTTTTAGAAATAATTACGAATATCCATTGGAAATAATGAGAATTTTTTGTAGATTTATGATTTATAACACCACATTTTTTGTAGATTTATGATTTATAACACATATAAAAATTGTGTTATTATAATATACTATTATAATTATTATAATATAAAATTATTTATTATAACATGCATAGAAGTAGAAACTGTGTGTTCAATACCTTAATCAACACGAAATTTTTAGACTAAAACCATAGAAAACCCAACACTAAGAATTTTATTAAAACTTAAAACAATTTTCTTATAGTTTGTATATCGGATAAGAGATGTCGCCACATATTATAAAAATACAATAATTTCATATTTTTAGACTAAAACCATAGAAAACCCACCACTGAGAATTTTATTAAAACATAAAACCAATTTCTTATTGTTCGTACATCGGATATGAAGTGTCGCCACATATAATACAAATACAATAATTTCATATTGTAGTTAAAAAATTGAAGCTTGCTTTCTAAAGTGGAATATGTATGTTATTTCATAGAGAAATATTTTTATCGTAAATCATTTTGAAAGCAAGAAAAAAAGTATATTATCTACCTAGTGGTAAAAATGAAATTATTTCAAAATAATTTCATATTTAGCATAGAACAAAACCCACAAAATAATACAGTCGTTATAAATTCCCAATTTCCTTTAACGAAAATAAAAATTCTACGTGCTGTGGTACACCTCTTTTCAAAAACTCATACGATTTGATTAAGTATTCCAATTTAGCACAAATCACAACCATCATAATTAATTAAATGTTCTCGCTTTATATTTCAATCCACTTTAATTCCTAACGATATAGTAAAATGTGTGTGTTATATTTTTAAAAAAAGTTTTAAAATTGGTATAAGAATTTATAACACTTTGATTAAGTGTCAGTTTAGTGTCAAAAATGGAAATGATATTGTCAAAATATTTACCGATGTTTCGATTATTGAAGTTTTACTAAAATTCTGAATAATTGCTGTGAAATAAAGTAATAATTGCTGTGATGTTTAAAAAAAATATGAAAATATCTAATTTAGTTGAAATTTTTCAAAAATGACTATGAAAATTTCAATATCGAAGGACTTTCAAAAAGCTTTAGAAACTATTCAAAAACAGTGGCAAAAGGCTCATGATTCGGAAAATGTATTTCGTTATAAACTTGATGTTAAAGATAAAAAAATATTGCAAGGCAGTATGAATTTCTTTTGTCAGGTAAAAATATTTAATTCAATAAAAGTTATAATTTTTTTTTTAAATTAAACTAAAGGTGTAATATTTTAGCTGAACCCAGAAAGGGCAACTTTAAGAAGGTTACCACAACAAATTGGTCCCCTTGACAAACCATTTGATGATTCCGTTTTTAATTTCAAAAAAATTGCTAAAGCTGAATATCTACTTGATGTAATATTTAATGGAGCTTCTTATAGCTTTATCATTAATCAAAGTCCTTTAACAAAATATCATTCATTGATATGCCCGAAATTGTATTCAGGATTACCACAAAAGTTAACACAAGAGGCAATTTATTTTGCATTGTCATTTATGAAATCTATTGAGAGCACTGATTTTATCATAGGATATAACAGTCCAGGTGCTTTAGCAAGTGTTAATCATCTTCATTTACATTTAATGCAGATTGAACAAAAGTTATATATTGAAACTGTGGTAAACTATTTTTGGCGTTTCAAAAAAAACAAAAAACCAATTAAATATTAATTTTTTTCAGGAACTAAAAGAAATAAACGCAAACTTTTTTAGACCACAAAATTGTCTGTTTGATGAGGCATTTTGCTATGTTATAAAACAAGAAATGGAGCTTCAAAAATCCGCTGAAGATATTTATGAATTTATCAAGTTCCTTTGTAAAGAAAGCATTCCCCACAATTTATCTATTATAAAGCTTCAAGATCACGTCATTAGAGTTTTTATATTTATAAGGGAAAATCCCTGTGTTGTAAAGGATTATACAAAAATCAATATTGCTTTTTGTGAATTTAGTGGTTATTTTCCTGTCGGTGGTAATTTATTTTATTATCTTTTTTAATGGACTTTTATAGAATACCTTATTCCAGATAAAATCTTATATGAAAGCTTAAATGAAGAGTTTTTAATTAAAAAAATCAAGTTAGAAACTGGAAATTGTTTCGACAAAGTTAAGGCGTACGTAGAGACTTTACCAATAGCCAAAAGCTAGAACAGAAAATCAACTCGATAAATTTGGCTGTACTTTCTAACAAGTTTTATTAGAAAAAAAATGGAAAAAAGTATAAATTTTATTTATTTTAGTAAAATTTTTATTTTTTGAAAATCAGTTTTAAATATAAATATTACTTTTTATTAGGATAACGATTTTGTAATTTTGTAAAAGTTTGATTTAATTATGATTAAAATATTAATTAACTCGTTGATACGAATATTATATACGGAATGCAAATTTAGTAATCTGTTCTTCATAATTTTTACATAATGAGTGCAAATTGGATACCACCGTTTGCAACGTAACCCTTGAAAATTATTAAAAAATTACAAAATTTGTTATTTAGAATAAAATACTAATCTTAAGATTAATTAGGTTACTAAAATTTTTAATTTTCCAATTTAAAATGAAATAAACAACTGTTAAAAAATAATTTTTTATTGTTTAAACTTTTGATAAAGGAAAATGAAAATTGATCCGAAAAAGAAAAATGGAGCACAGTTCTAAGAAAAGGAAATTAGAATTAAGAAATAGTTATTTTGAAGAATTCAAGTTTCAATAACCGAAAAAACATTGAACACTTGTTTTGTAACATGATAATATTTTTTACGTTTACGAAAGTTGTGAGTGGTTTGAAGCACCTACCTTCAGGCAACCTCAATCTGTAGCTGATACTAAGAGGCCACTGTAAGCAACTAGTATATTTAAACAAGATAGAAAACCTATATGATTTTGATTTTCCAAAGACGTAAAGAAAAAAATCAATTAGAAACACAATTGCTCAGGGTATAACAAAACCTTGCTAATAGTATAACGAATTCTGTCATTAAATTTAACGTATGTATAAGCTTCTCCCAAAAGCTAGAACGCAGAAATACTGCGTTTATTGCCCGCTTTTTGCCTTCTAATACCTATATATTATATATTTGGATATCCAACAATTAAAATTTCGAAACCTCAGAGCATTAATTCTAGTTAGAGCTGTACACATCAGATACATATTTTATATTTCAATATATTTTTTATTGTAGTGTTGCTTTAGAATAATCACAACATTTTTGTTTAACGGAAAAAGCAGAATATTTTAAGAACGTCTTATCACTTTGTACAATAATATTCATACAGAAAAAAATTCAAAGGATACTTATTGTATTAGAAAATGAAAGGAATCAGAGCTAAAGGCACACCTGAATGCGTCAAACCAAATCAATTTATGTTTAACCTAGTAGTGCTAAATTTTAATTGTTTTTGCTTACATAAATATGTACCTATGTTACATTTTGAAAATATTGCAATTTTTAAAATAAATGTATTTTTTCTAATTTCAGGTTATTTCAAAATATTTTCGAAGTCAATTTCAAATTAAACCATTTTCTCATATTGTAATGGAAATATTTAAAGAAGTTGCTTACAAATTAGAAAAACTAAAAAATCCTCATTATCAATTAGAAGTTGAAAAATCAGAAGAAACAGATTCTGGTAGAAGTTCTGACAATTGTATTGAATCTCTTAATCATAAAACAAATCGTTTAATAAATTTAAAAGTTGTTCGAGAAAAGAAGAATGTTAATCCTTACGGTGATTATGATAAATGTGGAACAATTGGATTTGCTGGAATTAAAAATCTTCAATTAAAAAAAGAATCAAAACAATTACCCCAGTTGATAGTTCGTCGACGAAATCGTGAAACAATTAAAAAACGAAATTCTAGAAGGAACACAATTGATGTAAATGCTTTTGATTTAGAAAAAGCATCAAAAATAATGCAAAAAGAAGAAAAAATTGGTATGGATTATTTTAATACTTCGAGATCAACAAATTATTTAGATAAACTTGTTATGGGAAATGAAGATTTTGAAAGTAAAATTGATAAATTAAAATTGTGTGATGGATTATCCGTTCCAGGTACCTAAAAAATGTTTTAATAACCTTAAATTAACCTTTACTGTTATTTGTTTTAATTGAAACGCAACTAAAAGTGGTTGCATGGTGCAATTTCCCTTTTCTTTGATTTTTTTAGAAAAATAATAGAGTAGATATGTAGGCACAATTTTTAAAATAATATTCAAATTCTATTAAATTATTTTTTGAAACTTAATCAAATGAATTCTGTCAGAGCTTTGATAGTATTTTTTAAATATGATCTATATGCTCTGGATATCCTCGGTCCCTTTTGATAACCCACATTTAATTCATATTAGCTATTTATAATTTCAAAATTTTAATTTATCATTTAAGTAGTATAATTTCGACAAAAAAGTTTTCACGGCTAATTCTATAATTTTTAAGTTTTACTATACTTTTCTGTTTTATTCAAGTGTTTTGATTCTGACGTAAAATCCGAAATATAACGTGAAAATATTATAATGTGTATAAATAATTAATAAGCAGCTTAAAAATTTTGCCTGAAGCATAATATGCCTGCATTATATTTACAATATTTATATAATGTATATATAGCTATTACCTATGTATGTATTAAAAATATGAGATTTTTATTTATAAAATTTTCATTTTTATATATTTCAGATGTAAATAAATTAAAATTAGAAGATAATCTAAATACTAAAATATCGCATATGTTTAATCAAAAGAAATGTGAACAAAATTTAATTAAATATCATTCTGAAGAGAGCTTTCTTTGTTCAACTAACAATAATAATAAAGGTCCTGAATTTATTTTGAAATCAAATTGTCCTCATCGTTCAATAAAAATAAACAAATCAAAGGTAAGAATATTAAAAATATATAAAATATAAAATATAACATTATTATTTTGTTGTTGATGATAAAAAAGTTATAAAAGTTCGCAAAAAAAAAAAAAAACAAACATACAAAAAAATTAAAATAAAATAAAAAATTTTTCATTTTGAAAGATACTAACACTATAAGGTAGGAGTCAAAATTTAGAAACTTTTTCATTAACAAACTTTCATTTTTGTACATACTATCTATGTACTCCGTGTGTCCATACATACATATTTATATTTTCATTTTCTAAATGTATCTACTTTTTGTGTTTTTATTTATTTCTTTTATTTTGTTTAATTTTCTTTTTTTCTTTTGTGTTATTTTAGAACGTGCCGCCACAAACAGTTCACGTAATACTTCTTAATGGACAAAGTCTACATATCAAATGTAATTATTTAACAACAACAACAAAGGATATATTTAAAGCCGTTATAGAATCTGAAGATTATCAAGAAAATTTTTATTTAGGTTTATGTGCTTTAATTGGAGGAGATTTTGTATTTTTACCATCTGATTTAAAAATTTATAAAGTGAGAAAGATTTTTTTCACATTATTAATGTTTTTAAACCAAAACAAAAAAAAAAATAATAAAAATATTAACAAGAAAAAGGATCCCTTAAGAAAAGAAAATTATATTTAAAACAAATATAAATATTTAGATATATATATGTACATATATATTATGTATATTATACACAGTCATATGCATGTAACACCCAAAAATAAAAAAAAAACTTTTTATTACTTTCTTTCCGCACAGGTGGCACCACAAAATTGGGTAAATGCTTCGAACAAAAAGTTTTTAGGATCACTGTGCAGCGTATTCTTCACGTTATTTCTAAGGATTAAGTTTTACTTGCCAAACTTAAAAGGTGTAAGGTATGATAAATGATTATTTATGCGCTTTATGGATGATAGTATATAGTAACTAGAGAAAGTAAAAGAGTAAAAAAAATTCATAAAAAAAAGTACAATAATTTTTTTTTAGTTTACTTTTTTTTCACCTTAATATTTTTTGATTACAATTTTATTTGCTATGTACAACTCATATAGCATTCTTTAACATTATGTAATATATATATATATATACGTAAATACATATGTTTTTATACCCTGCACTTCGTGAAGGGTATATTAACTTTGGTATGGAGTTTGTAACTACTTGAAGGAGTCATCTGGGGTATGGACATATGTATATATTCTTGCTCAGCGTAAAATTCTGCGTTGATTTAGACATGTCCGTCTGTCCGTCCGTCCGTCCGTCCGTCCGTCCGTCCGTCCGTCCGTCCGTCCGTCCGTCCGTCCGTCCGATCGCACGATAACTCAAAAACGAATAATGCAATCGACACCAAACTTTCACAAGTTGCTTCTTTTGTGCCAAGGACGAACCCTATTGTTATTGGACCAATTCGGACAACGGGTTCGGGTAGCTGCCATACAATTCAAAGAGTTTATTTTAATTATTTCAAAAACTAATAAAGGTACAAATATAAAATTTTGTATACATGTGTCCAATTATATTCTACATATGCTCTAAAAATTTTAATGAGATAGCTGCACCGGTTCGGGTGGCTGCCATACAACTCCAAAAGCAAATTTTTTATATTCGGCAAAATAATAAAGTCAGATTCATGAAACTTGGCAGTCGTGTGTCCAATTATAGGTCAAATATATTTCTGAAGTTTTGATGGAATTGCTTGACAGGTTCGGGTACCTGCCATACAACTCCAGAAGCTAATTTTAAATATTCGGCAAAATAATAAAGTCAGATTCATGAAACTTGGCAGTCGTGTGTCCAATTATAGGTCAAATATATTTCTGAAGTTTTGATGGAATTGCTTGACAGGTTCGAGTAGCTCCCATACAGGTCTAAAAGCTTATTTTAAATATTTGGAAGAATAATAAAGTCAGATTAATGAAACTTGGCAGTTGTGTGTCCAATTATAGGTCAAAGATATTTCTGAAGTTTTGGTGGAATTGTTTGGCAGGTTCGAGTGGCTCCCATACAGATTGTAGATTGTAGATTGTAGATTCTAAGGGAACTGAGTGGGGACAGGAGCATCCCCCCAAGCCACCGCAGCCATTTTTGACTTATTGTAGCCACCCCACTCTCCCGTCTATAATATCCCCGTCCCAATCACAAAGCCGGAGATATCCCTAAGGGAGTTGGACAATAGTTCCCGAACACTTAGGGACCCATGTTGGCTCCCATACAAGTCCAAAAGCTTATTTTAAATATTTGGAAAAGTAATAAAGACAGATTCATGAAACTTGGCAGTTGTGTGTCCAATTATAGGTCAAAAATATTTCTGAAGTTTTGGTGGAATTGCTTGACAGGTTCGAGTGGCTCCCATACAAATCCAAAAGCTTATTTTAAATATTTGGAAAAGTAATAAAGACAGATTCATGAAACTTGGCAGTTGTGTGTCCAATTATAGGTCAAAGATATTTCTGAAGTTTTGGTGGAATTGCTTGACAGGTTCGAGTGGCTCCCATACAAGTCCAAAAGCTTATTTTAAATATTTGGAAAAGTAATAAAGTTAGATTCATGAAACTTGGCAGTTGTGTGTCCAATTATAGATCAGATATATTAGCGAAGTTTTAGTGGAATTGCTTGGCAGGTTCGGGTACCTGCCATACAACTCCAAAAGCTAATTTTAAATATTTGGAAAAATAATAAAGTCAGATTCACGATACTTGGTAGTTGTGTGTTCAGTTATAGATCAGACATATCCGTGAAGTTTCTATAGAATGGTTTCACAGGTTTGAGTAATTGCTATACAACAATGAAAGATGCAGGGTATAATTCAATCGGTTCATACCGACTGAAACGTTTTTACTTGTTTTAATATAAACTTGTTCATTTTATATTATTTGTTTTAGCTCCTTACAAACACGTCATATGTTATACTTACAATTAAGGAAAAATATTTTGGAAAAACTTATCCTTTGTTCTGATGATGATTTGATTGTATTGGGTGGCTTAGCATTACAAGCTGAAATGGGTGACTATAAAAAAAATGTAAGTACATAATATTGGAGTATATTATACACACATGCATACATATATGCATATGGAGAAGTATTTTTTTTTTCAATTCATTATGATAGTGAAAAATTTTATATTTTATGATCATGTAGTATTGCGTATGGTAGTGAAAAACATATGTTTGTATGTTTTTAAAAGGATTTTATAGTGGTTCTTGTAAAATACTCTTAGCACGTTAAGTTTTTTTTTTTGTAAAACAAAAGCTGTTAAGTCAAAAGATTAAAAAGAAATCTCATTCTTTTTCGTTTTTTTTTGTTTTGGCTGGGATAAATTTTCGTTGTATTTTCTTAAATTAAAGGAATTTGAATATTTATACTTGTTGAACTTAAATTTTATGTAGGATGCTAACAGTTTTATTTGTATCATAAATCAATATTACGTTTCAACAAAAAATGCTTTTATTAATTAAAAATTTGTTGAATTTTGAAAATTGAAAAGTATTTTGAAGTCGCAATTTAACGAGATTATGATGTTTATGTTTTGTCCAAACATAAAATGAAAATGTAAAATATTGAGAGTCAAAAGAACCAAAAAATTTTTAAATATTTTGTGTGAAAGCGTTAAATTTTTCAAAATTGTATGTAGAATGGAAAAACAATTTAGATAATAATTACATATAAGTTAGTTAAAAAGAACATATTGCAAGTACATGTTTATGTAATTTTATTAAACAGTAGTACTTTACTTTTAGTTAATTTCCTTTTCATTAGTTAATTTCCTTTTCGTTAAAACATATATTATGTAATATTGTTCCTCAATTAATCAGTAATACTCTTTGTGTTTTAATTTATATTCTTTAACCTGTTAAAAGTTAAAATTCATCAATTTAACAAAAAAAAATGAAAATTTTAATTTGCAAGTTAATTTCCTCAGAAATTTTCCTTTATCGTATTTCCTTCTTATCGATTGAAACAAAATTTTTTTCTATTACGGAATAGCTATACTATTTATACCCGTACGAACGTATGTTCGAGGGGTATACTAAATTTGCCTTACCGTTTGTAACGCTCAGAAATAACGATGTTAGATATAGACTCAAGTGTATGTTTTTGATCAGCGTCAAATTCTGAGTTGATTTAGCTTTGTCTGTCCGTCCGTCCGTCCGAACGATAACTCAAAAACTAATTGAGCTAAGTTCACCAAATTTTCACAAATGATTTATTGTAGTAAGTGCCAGAACCCTATTTAAATTGGATATGATCAGGGTAACGTTTCGGGTAGCTGCCATACAACTTCAAAATTTATTTAGCTATATCTCAGAAACTATAAAAGTTATGGTATTGAAATTTCACACGAACGAATATATTAGTAGGGCCAATATGCCACATAAAAGTCGTTGAAGTTACTTGGCTCCTTCTGGTACCTGCCATACAACTTCAAAAATTATTTGGCTATATTTCAGAAACTATAAAAGGTGTGGTATTGAAATTTCATACAAACGAATATATTAGTAGTGCCAATGTGTCTCATAAAAGTCGTTGAAATTACTTGGCTCCTTCTGGTACCTGCCATACAACTTCAAAAGTTATTTGACTATATCTCAGAAACTATAAAAGCTGTGATATTGAGATTTCACACAAGTGAATATATTAGTAGGGCCGATGTGCTTGATAAAATTCGCTAAAATTTCTTGGCTCTTTCTGGTAGCTGCCATACAACATCAATAGTAGTTTGGCACAACCAGTATTTTGAATAACACCTAGTACTGAAATGTTGCATAAATTAATATGGTAATACGGCAACTTAAAGTCATAGTCTGCCCCATAGTTAATTATGGCACATTAGTTATTCGCACATAGGATAACAAATTCGTACGGGTACCACAGAGTTGACAAGGTCAACTCTATTTTTTTTCTCGTTTTATACTAAAGTATTGTAATTTTCCATGGAAAGTGTATTTTTTTTTGTTTCCACATAAAGGGCAATTTCAATTTGATGTAGCAAATGAATGTCAATTAATTCTATTTATATTACAAAATTGGGAAAAAGTTCTACAAAATCAACAATTTTAAAACAAAATTTTAATAAGGATGAAAGAATTGCCTTAGAAAAAGAATAAATTTTTATTAGGTGACTTTTTTTAAAGATATTGAAATATTGAAAACAACAGAAATATTTTATACGTACATATAAAAAATCATTAAAGCAACTTCACTCTCGTTGAAACTTAAAGCAATTTCAATTATTGGGAGTGAATGGAGAGAAAGATGAAGAAAAAATAGGTATTTTATAGCTAAAATTAAGTAGGCTCTTTTGTTAACGAAAACTGTATGTAATTTTTAAATTGTAATAAATGTTTGTAAACTTATGTAAATTCTTGCAAGAAAAGCGTTCCAGTAAAAATCATTTTTGAATTTTATTTTCGAAAAAAACTTCGAAATAAGTGTAGCTATTTAGTCACAAAAAAAAATTTTTTTAACAGATAAGCAATTAAAATTTCAATATTCTAATTTTTTTTATTTTTGATATTGTAGATGGAATTCCTTGATTATTTTAAAGTATCTCATTATCTACCGGAAGATGTATATTGTCGAAATAAAGAAATCGCAAAGCATTTAAGGAACTCACATTATTGCCGTAAAGGAATGGATCATAAGGAAGCTGAATATAATTTTGTAAAATATGTTCAAGAAATGAAAGAATATGGTTTTCATTTATATAGTGCTAATTGGGTAAGTGTGAATAAAAAGAATGATGTCTTTTATTCACTTATTTTAAAGTTTTAATATTGTAACAAAAGACATTTTTTTGAACATTCAATAATAAATTAAAATGCATTGTAGTGTACCTCTGCCTTTGCATGCATGAGAAGAAATGAAAAATGAATAACATGTAAGTTAGACAGGTGGAACAGTATCTCGTAAACGTTCAGCCATATAAACAAGTTAATCTTCGTATATTAAGTTTTATTTTTACACAAAAATACAGTTATAGATTTTTTTTCTTGTAGAATCCTTGTCAATTTTAAAAGTAATATTTCAAATAGATACCTATTAGAATGTTGTAGTGTTTAAATATGAATTTCCAAAAAAAAGGGAAAAAGAAACTTAAAGCACCGAATATTTATAAATTGATTCAGCAGTAGGATAGTACAAAGTCTTATATTATATATTAAAATTTAACTGTATTCTTAAACTTCCTGCTAAATTGGAAATTATTTTTAAAAAATTTTAATTCATTTATTGTTTTATTAATATTTTAATTTAGGTATCATTATGAAGAATTCAATGATATTTGAAATGAGACCACTTTGTTGTCCGGTTGAATTTCAGTTCTGTTAAAGTATTCTTTCATAATTATAATTTGAGCCATCATTTTATTTATTTCAACCTTAATTTTATACTTTAAAATTTTTAATAAATGAAATAAATTTTTTTAGACTTTTTGGGATTGATTAGAAGCATTGTTTAGTAGACTGCTACAGTTTCCAAAAATTTAATAAAAAAATTTCGACTTTGTCGGTTGACCCCATAATCTCAAAATTGACGTATTAATTGTAATCTTTTCAAAAGAAGAATGTGTAATTTCTATAAAAATCATTACGATAGGCAAGAGTGATTAATTATTATTATGTTTATATAAGTATATGCCGGAATTATTTTCTCTCTTATAAAACACCGAATAATTTATCAACTTCAATATATTAAATTGTAGAATAATATTTCATATATAGTGTATATTTTGAATTTAATATTTTTGGAAGGACCTTAGATACGTATATATTATTATTAGTTCATATAATATTAAAATATATGCATTCACACCAGTATATAACACTATTCAAATTTGATAATATGAAATCATAAATATTATCATTTAGCTGATTTCATTAAGGTATTAGTCATATAGATTATACACAAAGTTTACTACATATAAAGTCATAAAATTAATTAAATTTTATTTTAATATTTTTATTTTGTTTTGTCTTTCGTTTAAGGTTTTAAGTGAAACAACATTTATCAAAATTTACCTTGGCATATCATTAGGTGGTATCACATTTTTCGAAAGAAATTGTGATCAAATGACAACATATCCAGCAGAAAAACTAATAATAAATCAAAATAGTAATAATATGATTAGGAATGCGTATAAAATTTTATTAAAACATTTTGAATGGCTTGAAATAGAAAATTTATGTTTTTCAAAGCATATTCTATGTATTGTAGTGAGAAAACTTGAAAGTCTGAAAGCAAAAGACAATAATAAAATAAAATTTAAGTTAAAAATGGATGACAAAAAGTGAGTATAAAAAAGATATTTTAGTTTTTTGTTTTTCTAAATTTCGAATAAATTGCGTTTGTAATTACCATAGAGTACAAACATTTTACAAATGATGTGTTTTCTTAAATCAATTTAAATGGAACAGTTTTGAAGAAATAATTCACAACATTTTTCTACAATATGAACAAATATAGTTACGCACTATGCTTTAGTATAGTAGAAATCAAACTACTAAATCAAATACGTAAAATTAAAATTTTGGTTATTTTACAAAAGTGTGTGTGTACAGTGGGGTCGATATTTCAATATGCAATGGTAAAAATTGTTATTACACTTTCTTTTTTTTCGAATCTGAAGCAAATGCTACAGGAATTTTTATTAATTTAATTTTTCGTTAATATTTAATTGAAATACTAAAATATTTTAAAATATTTTCTTAAAACCTTTCTCTTTATAAACTCGCAAATATTGATAGCGTTCTATGGAGAGTAGTTGAAAAAAATTAGATTGATAGGATACCAAAAATGTAATGTTATGAGGTTCCAAAATCTTACAAATACTATCATTTATTTCTTTCTGCTCTACTATACTTTGTTACCATTTTATTACCTTAGTTGATGGATTCATCAACAATTACAACTTAAAATTTTAATGAATTTTAATAAAATCAAAACGTGAACAATTTTATTCATATTTAAAAAATTTTAAAATTAAAATAATCATATTAAAACATTTTCCATCGATTAAATTTCTCATTTATAATTCTATTCGTATTTTTTTTTTTTACAGAAGTTATTTTGCATTTAGTTTAGCATCAGATCATCATCAATTCTATTTGAAATTAAGAAATTCATTTGCATCATTAAAATCGATTTCGAATGAATTAAATATTCCAATCACATCAATAGAAAATTTCAAATTTACCGCAGAGACAAAGCAAAAAAACTTTGATGATAAAGAAATTACAAAAGTAATAAGCCTTTCATCAACAACATCATCATCAGTATCTGAGATTTGTAAAAAATGTGATACAAGTTCCCTTGACAATTGTACAAAAATACAAAAAGGGTACCCTGATAATCAAATTGAAAATTCTTGTACAAAAACACCATTATCATCAACATCAACTTCAGCATCATTAACATCAGAACAACAAAATAATGTTTCATTTGTTGAAGAAAATGAAATTAAAAATTTAAATTGTCTTCGTCATTCGCAGCAACAGCAACAACAACAAGCACATCATCATTGCCATCATCATCAACATCAGAATCAAGAAGAAGTTATAACCGGTAACATAGTAATTAAAAATGTGGAAAAAAATAACAATGCTCCCAAAATAAAACCAGCAAAGAAATCTATGTTAAATGATAATCGCTTATCAAAATTAAAAGAGAAATTTCTAAGGCGTACAAAATCTACAGCAGCCGGCTTAGAAATTAATTTAAAAAATAAATTTAAAAAAGATAAAAAGCATAACAGTTCTATAGAAAATTTACAAGAAACAAATAAAAATGATTGCTGTGGTGATTGTAAATGTACTATAGCATCATCACCATCATCAACAATTAAATATGATGGGACAACAGAAGAAGAATACCAAAATAAAGAAAATGAATGCCCAAAGGCTCATTTCAGTAATTCACAATCACACAAAATCAAGGAAATAGATTTGGATGATGAAAGTAAAGAGCATTTAACTGGTTGTAATTTAAGCTTTGAAATAACTCCAGTTGATCATATAAATACATCGTCAGCAAATGGTGTAAAAATATGCAGTCCAAATAGAAATAAAGTTAAAATGGGTACACGTGTATTTTCATCACAATTTTTAAATAAATCTTATGATAACATTTATGATCGATTTAAGCAATTCAATAATAAAACTTCAATCAATGATAAAGATTTTAGTTTATCACAAGAACAACAACAACAATTGCAGTCAAGATTACCACCACCACCAACAATACCAGAAAATTTAACAAATACGACTGAAGATGATAATAGCGAAATTGATGCTGGAATTTATGATACAATAGATTACAAAAGGGATATAAAGAATTGTCGTAAAAATCTATCTGAATTTAATGGTAGACAATATGATATTGTTGATGTCGCTAAAGATGAAATTCAAAGATATCGTCAACAATATGATAACAATAAAAATGATAATGATAAGATATCACCAATATTGTTCAACAATCAAAATCAAGATAATAATAGCGACGGAAATATTTATTCTGGTGTTTACTGTAAAATAAAACAAAATTATTCTACTAATAAATGTATGTTATCACAAATGAAATCCCCACCATCATCACGTCGACAAGAACAAAAGCAAAAGCAACAACAGCAGCAGCATCATCATCATAACCAGCAGCAGCATTATCAAAAACAACAAAAGAAACTCGAGGGACATAATAATATTAAAGGTTCATCTGAAGAAGCTTACGTTATCCGTAAGTTGAAAAGTTTTATTATTTCTTTCTTTTTTTTTGTTATTAATTTTTCTTTAATTTAAATTTGGAGCAAATGTTAACAAATTTTTGTATTTTATAAATTTAAAATAGATTTTTTTTTGGTAAAATTCTGATTTTTTAGAATGGAAATTTATTTGATAATGAAATTTCTGCAATACGCAGTCTTACAAATAATACTGTTAGTTACTTACATTTATTTTTATAATGTTGCAAAATTTCATTCAATTAGTGGAAACATAGATGTGTAAAAAATTATATATGTAGGATTTACGACAGAGATTCTTGTGGAAGAAAGCGAATCATTTATATAGTGTTATCATCAATATTAAAGTTGAGCAATTTTCAGCTAGTGCGACATTACCAATTTGAAATTTTAATTTAAAAAGTTTTGCTATGGAAAAATACAATAATTTTTCACTACATTTATTATGATCACTGTATTTCCCAAACTTCCGTTTTTCACATCTTCTCTTTGATTTTAGATGAGTTTAGTGACATTATGATATCTTTAATTGGGAAGTTGTATATATACCACAAACCATATTATTTCATTTCCTTAGACTAATATTACGTTTTATTATTTTTCTCGCATTTAAATAACAGTAACAAGCAGCTATTTGCCGCCTGGAACAATTTCTTTATCATTTAAATTTTATTGGGCTTAAGATTTTCTTTTTATTTCTTGTAATCCCTTTATTTTTTTTTTTTGTATTTAAATCTGAATACGCACTTTATAAAAGTATCCTTCTTTGAAACATGTTTAGTCAAGTGTATTTCCGTGATGTGTTTTCAAGGACTTTGTTTTCTTTTTCCTATGCCTATTTACATATACATATGTATAATGTGTAGGTACTTTATTTAATTTTCATTCCTAAATAAAATGAAAAGAAGATAGAAATATAAAAATTTAATATCATAACAATAGTGTTATCTAGTAGAATGTAATAAGTGACATTTTGTACATTTTCCAAGAAATAGTTAAAAAAAAATTTCTCATATTATTCTTTTATAAATCACTTAAAAGAGGTTTGCGGCATTTATTGGTATGATTGTCTTAAGATTTGCAATTTGTTTGGTACTATAATATTCTTAAAATAGAGTCATTATGTGCATGTCCGAATTTCGAAAAGCTTTTGAATTAGCAAAAACATATTCTAAATTCAGAAATCATGATGTCACTAGTGAAATCTGTGAACATTGTGAATTAATGCACTCTAACTAAAAATTGTCAATTATAATTTTTTAATTATTTTTATAACATTTCTTGTCATATATTCACATTTCTTGATCATAAAAATTACATAAATGATGTTATTGATTAATTTAAGTGAATACTGAATCTAAATTTACGGAATTGCAGGATAGGCTATGATCTTCTGTTAGAATAAAGATTATTTTAATAAAAACTGTAGAAAAAAATGAGAACGTAGTTCTTTTATTCTTTTTGGCACATACTACATTCTTTTATGTAAAAATACTGATAATATTATAAAATGTATGTTAGATGGAATGCGTACATAACATGAATAAAAAAATAATCCTTAAGGAGGAAAAATATATTGAGACAAAATGAAAAGCATGTGATGAGAGACAGAAATAAAAAAAAAATAAAGGAACGAAATACTCAAATTGATTTGATTATATTATTATGCATAGGTTATGCATATGCACAAACGCTTATACATTTTATATATGTATATTAATTCAATAATGTATGTATATTTTTCTATTTATTTTTAAGTTTATTTTGAACTTTTAAGATCCTTAAATAATTTAGAGTGTATTAATAGTTGTTTGTATATGTATACTCGTATATTATAGAGTTTTTAAACCTTAAGAATTCGAAAATTTCGATTAGATAGCAAAGTTTAATAGCTGGGATTTACAATAAGTACATATTTTTATAGCAGTATAATATTATTTACAAAAAAGTTTAATGTATTTAATAGTATAAGTATACAATGTATATTACCTTTGAAATAAAAGACACCTGAAAATTAATAATCTGATAACGTTAAACAATGATATGGATTTAAACTTTAATTGAAAAACAAAAGAAAAAAATTTTATTTTTCTGCTTCCTTTAGTGAAAAATAATATTCCCTTTAGAATATTTTTTGATATTTTCTATAAGAAATGTATATCTACTCGTACATACTGCACACTCCTAATGCGTTATTGTGTTATGCTCTAATCGAATTTGGTAATTTTGAATATTTATTTACATATTTGGTTTTTATTTTAAAATTCATTACTAAAATGTGTATGAGTGTATTATTTATTTATTTTTAATATATTTCTTAAAATTTGCTTATTAGTTTCACTATGTCTGTTAAGTTTATCTGCTATATAGAAAGGCAAAACTTTGTATGTAAATAGAATTTTAAGCATTTATAAACTCAAATAATTTTCTTCTTCTACGTTAAATAGTCATACTCAAACTTTATTTGAATTAGTAATAGCAATCTTATTTATTTATTTTTAAAAATATTGCAGAGTTTTGAATAAACAACATATTCACTTCATTTTAAAAAGTAGTCTTTTTTATACCCTATACCTTCGTGAAGGTAGTTGCCATACAACTAAAAGAGGTTATTTTAAATACATAGTATTTCGAAAAGTAATAAAGATATTCATATATCAAATTTTATAAGAGTGTGTGTACAATTATTTTCTACATGTATTCTAAAATTCAAAATTTTTAATGGAATAGCTGCAATGGTTCGGGTAGCTTCTTAAGTAAATTTTAAATATTTGAAAAAATAATAATGTTAGATTAATGAAACAAATTTGGCGGCCGAGTGACCAATTACAGATCAGACATATCCGTGAAGTTTCTATATAAAATGACTTGACAAGTTCGTGTAATTGCCACACAACAATGCAAGCTAATTCTAAATATTTCAAAAACAATTTTTTAAACTCAGATTTTAAAGGTTCATACTGATCGAAATGTTTTTACTTTGTTTATTGTGTTTAGAAATCTGCTGAATTTTTTCATTAATAACACTATAGAAATACAGAGAACTAATGATTATAATTACCTACACAATTTTGCTGCAAAAGTTTTTTTTACTGAGTATTTAAAACTATATAACAAATGACGATGTTTTCTTCAAATGTAAATCTTAAATTTGTAAAACTTTATTCCTACATATACGAGTACATTAAAAAGTGAAATAAGAAAAAACTAAAAAGGAAATTTTACCTACATATATAGAATACGTCATATTATGTGAACACTCTTATTTTTTACTCAGTATGCAAACATTATACAATGCACTTTTTCACTACATTGTAAAACTCTATATATTAAGGATATTAAAAAGAGCAAATTCAAATTATCTTGTATATTTTACATGCACATTTTTATACACCATAATAATATTATAGTTTCAATTTTAGTTTCACTGCATTACGAAGTTGATAGCGTAAGAAATGTCTTTACAAATTTATAAGCCCGAAAGTTTTTTCTTTCTTTGTACAAAGTTATAAATATATTTTGAAATAAGTACATAGTTTTTTTTAACATTGTTGGTATGTGACATTAATTGTATATGAAAAATTTCATTTGATTTAAATAAGGTAATGCAGTTTATGTAAGAATACAAGCGTATACCAAAATTTATAAAAGATAAACCATGATATAAGCGCGTGAAAATTTTTCTTACTCTAAAACTTTTCTATTATATTTTGTTTAATTTTATTTGAATTATCTTGTGGTATTCACGTTTTTTGGGAACTGTTACAAAAATTTTGTTTTATAAATTTCATGAAAACTAATATATTTTGTATATTAGATTTATTAAATTTAAAATTTGATATATGGAACCTTTTGCATAGATTCGTGATTCATGTTAACTTTATAAGGTAAAATAATGGAACATAGATTAAATATTAAATTTTAAATTTATATAGATATTTAAAGGTTATATAGAACTGGTTTTAAAATTTGTATTATGGTTTTGAATATTTCAATATAAGAACATTACCCCAATTTTTCAAAAAAATAAAATTAAAATTTCGACCGAACCTCCAGTAATAAAAAATTGCACGGGTCTCTTTCAGCCAAATGCACGATAATCAGACAGAGAATATCATCTTCGTTGTCCAAAAGCTCCGTGGTAAGACATCGTAAGACGGAGGAGGAATCATCATTTTACTTAATAAGTATAGCTGAGTTTTAAAGAAAAAACATTTTCTATTTGGAATTTTTCATAATTTTTCGTACACTTTTCTCAATGTTTAATTCAAATTCAACAGGAAATATTTAAAGAGAAAATATTTCACAGTTAAAGAAATTATTTTTTCCATATTCCTATATATATATATATATATAATATTTGAAAATTTAGCGAGATTCACATAAATCAGAGAAAGAGAAAATGAAAAATATAAAATTTTCATCAACTATCTGTGTATATACCTAAATCTTCTGATTTTTTGAAATAGTTTGAAGAATTTAGATTTTCTTTTTTTATTGCGGTAGTAAAAAAATTTTTATTGCTTTTATAGTATTTTTGCTTTTCATAGTTTTCTTAAAGGATATAGTGCATATTATATGATTATTTGATTGTTTCTTATATTATTAAGTTTAAAAACTGTTTAAGTTTCGTTAAGCTTTTCTAAATTACGGTTATTGTGACAATAATTTCCGTTTTTCGTTTTAAAATACGTTTTATTTTTTAACAAAAGGTTAAGTAGTTCTTCTTTTTTTTTTCTTTTGGATTTATGACTTAAAAAATGATTTCATATACATGAAAATATTGTAAAAAAAATAGTAACAATAAGAATGAATTTCAGAAGAAGATGAAATTTTGGTATGGATGAAAAAGGATTTAAAATTTGCTATACTATTTGCTAAAGTTTTTGTTCTAAAAAAAAATCATTTGGCACAAATAAAAGTACAATATATATATATATATATGAAAATAACTGAAAATGAGGTTTTGCCTCATTTTAAACTTTGTTTTTGGATTATATGAAGTATTATGATTTAAATTCGAAAATAATTTTAATTTATATCAATTCATTTAAGTTAATAATATTTTTAGTTTCAGTCATAATATAAGGTTTTCTTTGGGATATAGCAAGCCAAAATTTAAATAGGTCAACATATTATAAGCAAATGTTAAAGCTCAAGGTTCCTCCAGTGTCATCTAATTCATATACATCATAAAAATTTCTTAAACAACTCACGCAAGAATGAACAACATATTTTCAGAAATATGAGTAAATTGTTATAATTTAATTCTTCATAAAATAATTATTTTTCAAAATTGACTTGGTAATGAATTTAGAAGACATAAAAAGAATAGATGATAGACCAGTTTACAAAAAAAAATATATATATATTTAGTTTTTCTTCGAATTTTTCATTTTCCTCTTAAATTTATTAAATAGCTGGAAATTCTTAAAATATTCTAAGAATCAACAAAATAATTAGCATTGTATATTTACCATTAAAACTCTTAGAGGGAGCAGTATTTTAAGCAATAAGGTCAAGTATTTTATATTATTTGAATGGGACTTTTTTTTGAATAAGTATCTTTAAAATAAAATAGTTAATTCTACAAACAAAAGTTATTTTTAAGTATGGAAGAATTCTAGGAAAATACGCTTAAAACAGAACCTAACAGAACCCCTCTTCAAAATTTTAGAAGACTATTAAGAAGAATCTTTATTATTGTTTAAGAGTATTTTGTTATAATTTATCTAGGAATTTATTTTTAGGATTTCCAATATGTACCTACCTATTTTTTGATATTTTAAGACTTTTAAACTGATATTATGATTACTAAAAAGTTAACAGCGTACTATTTTATCTATTATCGTCACGCCAATAATGCGAAGCCGCTTGTACCTTACATAACTCTTAATTTTAACAAATTATATTGTATTATTCTTATTTTATTAACAATTATTTTCTTTTTCATTTTATATTGTACAGATTCAAGCATATCAAGTGATTTTCATAGTTATAATAATTTTTCTTTAAATAATGATACCATATCAGAATCTTTATTGGAACGTTTTAATAACATATCAAATTCAAGTACTTATGGACCTGAACGAATATTACGAAAAGTTGTAGTTGTCAAAGAAATTATAGATTCTCTTACACCATTACTAAAAGTAGAAGAAAATAATAAAAATTTATGTAAAAATTCAAAAATTTATGAGCAACAACAACAACAACAGCAAACCAATTCGATATCAAATCAAGATGCACCTATCATCAAATATTCAACATTTAGTCCAGGAAAAATGAAAACTCTTTTAAGAAGTTTTAGTAATATTGATTGTATTAGAGATCAAAATAATCCTAAACAGGATAATTTTTCATTAAGCGCCGAAAAATCAAAATTAAAAAATATGAAATCGCATTCTCATAATGAAAATTTATATCAAGAAATTAGCCCAAATGACAATTTTGAAGAAAATTTACAAAATTATACATTAGGAATAAGTATTGTTCAAGGATCAAATGACAATAATGTTTATGTTAAGGATTTAATAAATAATGGACCAGGTGATAAAGCTGGAGTATTAGTCGGTGATCAAGTAAGTTTTTATGGTTTTTCTATTCTATCGTTCATTTGTTTTGATTTAGGCGTCTATTTGCAAACCTACACACGTTGAGTTGAAAAAATTACAAAATTTTGACTCATCTTAATTCTGGTCTCAAAGTTGTAATCACCCTAAATCCAAATTTAAAAAATTATATTTTTTAGAAATTTATTAATAACTATCGAATTCCATAACACATTTTTGTTTTGCCGGACATTTTTTTTAACACTTTTCAGACCAATTGTTATTATGAGGCAATTAACTGCCACTTTAAATTTGAATAAGAATATAAATTAATTCAGAGGAACTAACTGAAATATAATTGGCAAAGTAACACGCACAGTTACAATTCAAGGTTTTTAATTTATTTAACTTGATTCTCATTAGTAGTATGTTGTCAATATATTAATAAATATATTATGATTAATAATAATTTGATTTGTTGTTTTATACTGTTTCTTTGTTCTTGAAACAATCTTCATAACTTCCCTATAATTATAATATTTGCTTCAACACAAAAATTATTTTTTCACCATGTAATATAAAAATACAAATATTAAAAAAAATTTATTCTTAATACAAATTCTTAATAAATAACATTTTTATTTCCAGATAATCGCTGTTAATGGCATATCACTGTTAAATTTACCATATATGGAATCCTTAAAATTGTTACAAAATACTGGGCGTATTGTTGAATTGACAATATCCCAAATTGTTTCAGTAACACCCTCAGCGACAGAAGCACCTACAACAAAAACAACATCATTAACAAATATAAAAGAAAATTCTAACAATAATAATAATAATAAAAATAATGAAAATAATAAATGGAAGGATGATTGTTTGCAACAGTCTAGGAATATAAATTATTCGAAGGATAAAATATTACAACATGGGAAACAAATGAAAGAATATACTCTACAAAATCCCTCAATTGAAAATGGTCATAGTTATAATAATATTAAAAATATAGAGTTAAAAGAAAATTCTTGGAAATCGTGTCATATGAATGATAATATTAGTTGTAAAATAATGTCAACAGAAAATCAAAGTAAGGATATAAGTCAGACAAAAAATCCAAAAAGAGACAATATTAAAAAAAATAAGTATAATTTAAATCAAGAATTTATAGAAGTGGTGGAAAATGATGATGTGGACGGAATGATTAATGAAAATATTACTTTAAGCTTATCAAATATGTACGTGACGAATGTTGAGCATTCAAAACATAATTATTACATTAGAGGAAGAAATGGTATAGATGGTTATAGTGCTGATAATTTAATTGAAAGTAATATTCCAACAATTAGTGTAAGAAATAATTTAGATCCTAATGTTTCAAGAAGTTTACCTGATTTGCCAAAAGTAAGTCGTGTTTACATCATCTTGTAGAAAATTGTTTTTTTATTTATAAGAAACAAATTCAGTATTCTGTGAAAAACTAATTAAACTTTTTCTATACTAAATATTTTACAAAAATCTTTCTAATAAATTTGAATTATTTAAAATTTTTCAAACTTCACTCAACTATTACCAGTTTTCATAAATATGTAAATAAGTTCAATAAATGCGCTACTTTTACTCTTCTTTTTTATTATTTTTTTTTTTAATTTGTTTTTCCAGGCGATTTCTGTGCTACCTAATAAAATATCATTACTTGGTGAAACTGTAGAATATGCAACTGTTCTACGAAAAAGCCAAAGGCGTACTAGTAATCCATCACGAAAATATATTGGTCCGATTCGATATCCAGTAACACCGAAAAAAGCATGTTGTTCTATTAGTTCATCAAATAAATATAATCAACAAAATCAGCTCTCTATTAAGGAACAAACCCAACAGGTGCTTATTTAAAAACTAATAATACGTATATGTGTGAATGTATGTAATTGTATTGAATAAATTAAGTATAGATTGTATAAATTTTAGTTTTAAATTTAAAGACAATAATTATGTTTTCTTTGAAAACAATTTTAATTGTATTATTAGCGAGCCTGCATTTAGTTCAGTGCCTATAATTTATGTTAAATTTAAACGATCAATACTATTCTTTTTTATATTATAATTTGCTTTATTCATTTTTTTTTTATTTTCATTTAAGTGTAATTTTTTAGTATAAAAATTAAATTGTGTTTATTTTATAGGTTTTGTTTTATTAAAATGATGATTTATTTTAATTATTTGTTTTTGTTTTATTTTATTTAATTATATTTTATTTTTTTATTTTTTTTTTGGATTTTTATTGATTTATTTCAGTTTTTTTATTAAAATTTCGTATATTTTAAGACAGACAAAATTGAATGCAGTCCATTTGATTTTAAAAATAAATTGGTTAAAAATGGAAATTATTTAAACTGAGAGATCGACTCTAAGGTATTTAAAGAAATACTTTTCACATCAACTGGAAAATTAATAGGTTTAGGAAATTGAAACTAGTAGTTTTGGGTAATGATGATAATTGGTGCTGCATTATTTTTCACATGTGTTAGAAGAAATACTCACTTATGGACAAGCGATCGCTGAATTCATTAAATTGATTTTAAAATTATAATTGAACTATAAATTGAACATAATAATTTTAAATTTAATTAAAAATGAAAATCAAACTGTTCCATGTTGAACAATTTTGGTTTTATTGCAATGAATGTTTGCGATATTGGCATTAATTTTGATACTTTAGTTATATTGTATACTATCGAGTCTTAGGAAGAGTACTTTTTAACTTTTTTATATAATATTGAGTTGATTAATTGTTAGTATGTATTGTATTATTGCAGCCGCAGGAACAAAGAAATTGGCAGTATACTTTTAAAATATCGAATTTAATTACATTTTATTAAAATATAATTTCGATATAAATTCAAAACTGAAACTGTATATAAACTGAATGTCAATAATATTCCAGCAGTAAAAAAAATCTGAGAAACAATACTTATTACCTGAATTTGCTTCTACGTACCCCATAATGTAAAATTTCTTGTGTTTTTTGTTTTTTAAATATTATGTGTGGAAGAAATCTACATTTATAAAACTAAAATGAGAATTACTAAAAAATTTTTTTGCATTTATTTTTTAACCCTAATTAAATTAGCTCACATCAACAAAAGGGTTTGAAAATAATATTTTCCAGTGAAAATATTTAAGTACTACACAGTTTCAACGTGAAGAACTTCGAATCATTCGCAATTTTTTAAAATAAAGAAAAATGTAATAAGCTCAGAGTGTTAATTTTTGTTTTGGAAAAGTTGGAAAATAATAATATTAAAGGAATTAATTTATCTACTTTTCCCCACTTGAAAATTATAATAATTTTCAATTAGAATAAAAGGTGTTTAAACAAAAAAAAAAACAAAAAATTTAATAGAGAAAAGGATTTTGGGGAATTTTTTTAAAAATTTGTGTTTTTTGTTTTTCTGAGTTAAAAAATTTTCTCATATTTGGTGATAAAATGCATTTTAAATTAAATGTGCAGTAATATTTATGATATAAAACGTAAAAAATGCATATAGTTTCCTGTTATATACGTTCATTTTAATAATTACTTAATAAATCATTCTCGCAGCGAAGTAAAAAACTTCTAAATGGAATTTTTTCAAAGTAAGAAGACTAAAAAAATTTTTTTTTTTTCAAATTTTTATTTCACATTATTTTAATTATATAAGATGTTAAATATAAAAATGGAATCTCATTTATCTTCACTCTATTAGCAATAGTGAAAGTCAGGAATGAAAAATGTGAAAATTAATTTTTTTATATACAGGTACCTTCATAATGGTATGTTTATATGTTCTTAAATATATTACGTTATCATATACATATATACGTAATAACATGTTTGAAATTTTACATACGCTTAAACGTGTGTACTCGTACCTATATTATAATATAGTCTTAAACTGTAATACTATACGAATAATGTAATACTATACTGTAATATTATACCGAATTTTCAATTATACAAACAAACATTAACAGATGTTTCATTACGTATAGCACAAGGTTTTTGTAATATTTTAATAATAAGATTAATTTTAATAATAATTTTGTGATAATTGCAATAAAAACTTTATATAAAAGGCAAAGAGAATAAAGGAAAATTATTATTGAACTGGGAAAAAAAATTTTAATTGGATAACCATAATATTTTATTTTTTAAAAAATGAAAGTTATAATAGTTTTAAATTTGAAAATTTTCATAAGCTTAAAAATATTTTAAAAAATAAAATTTGAAAATTTTTTATTAAAATATTTATGCAAAACTAAAATGTTGAAAAATTTTTGAAATAGGATTAGTTGCAACTAATTATGTTGGTAATTTTAATGGTCTTATTTAAAATCTAAAATGTTAAGGGTTACAAGTAGGTATAGTCTGTAAATATATTGTTGAAACTTTAGTCAATTTTAAATCAAAATTTTAAATCAAAATATCAAACTTAATTTTAGATAATATCAAAGGACGGCTACTATTTTCAGAATACTAGAAAATTCAAACAAATTCTAAATAGAAAATACAATTGTACTTGGAATATTCGTATTATAACTTTGTCATTTACACAATTATTATTTAAGATTTTCTACCATAATTTTTATAAGACCATATATATATATATTGGTAAAGTAATTATTTTTTCTACTATTACTTGGATTAATTTGTAAATAGTTTAAAATTAAATAAAATGACATTTTATAGAAATAGAATGAAAAATAACGCATTATTTGTAGACTAATATTATATTACACAATTTTACCCATACGTGATTATGTATAAATATAATATTACATTATAAAAATAGTCGCGATGTTTTTTTTTTCAAAAAGAAAGAAACCTTAACCAAATTTTATAAAATTAGAAGGAAAAAAAAATAAGTAATAATTCAGAAGTAAAACGTGAATTCAAGGTTAAAAAGAAAATCGGTCAATAACATTTTTAATTTTCATAAAGAAAATAAAATTAATTTTATAGCTATTTTACTAAAGTAAGTTTAGTTTTTTTTTTACAAATGAAACAGATACAGTAGTGGTTCTTTTTTTGGGGATATAGTCTTAATATTAAAATAGTATACTCTTGCCTAGAACTGGGGAACTTCAATTTAAAGCACATACTCCAGTAAATTATTTGACCTGACGTATATATTTTTCTGTCGACAATAGTGTGGTTCAGTAATAATGTTCTTAAAAAACAATATTTATAATAAAAGCATTGTTTAAAAATAATCTTAAAGCAAAATTTTTCACATAGTGCGTTAAGGTCTACTATATCAATATTAAAGTCTACTGCACTAGTAAATATAATAGTGAGGTACCTCGGGATACTAATTTATAGTCATCTGTTCATACATTCTTCTTTATAGGCACAGACCACTCGAATATCGTATTTGCATATTTAGTGTTGTTTTTAACGTAAGTGAGGACATAAATGTTTTCTCAGCTATAAAATTACGTCGCATAAAATAAATGCAAGTATTTCATAAAATTAAGATTAAAAGTTTAACTTTTTAAACTGTTTACATTACATGAGATTAACTTAAACTTTTAGAAAATTGAAATTTGTTAGATTATAATAAAATTTGTTTTAACAGGTTTTATAAGACCTATTAAAAATTTTTCCAGGTCGTATTATCATCATTAATTTTTCGAGAGAAATTCAGAAAGCGCTTTAATTCCTTAATCACTCATTATGTTCGAAATTTGAAATATTGTCTAAGAATCACCAATTTTAAATAGAAAAAAAAAAAACATCAATTATAAGGAAAAGTGGTTAACAAAGGCTTATTTATTCTTCGAAAACCTAAAGTCCGAAAATAAAATTTAAAAAAATATTTAGGAATAAAATTTTAAAAGCACAAAATTCTACCTTTCTAGTTTATCAGTTCCATTCTACCTTTGAGATTTTATATTTAGTTCCTAAAATTTTGTGTTTTTTTTTTAGTTACAACTGGAGTAATTTAAATGTAATAGGTCTGATACGCTATAAAAGTAAATTGAATAGTTTTTGATTTTTTAATGATGTTCTCTTAGCCAGGCTTTATTACCACGAGGCACCCTTAAATATTATCTAGCTACCTACTCATTACTCCACATTATAGAAACTATACTCTATATACTTAAGAAACTATATTGTTCTAAATTATTCAGAATAAATACCTCCATAATTCAAAAAATCTACAAATATTTCTTGTTTTAATTAAGAAATTACACTTTACAATCTATTATTTGTTATTTTCTTGCCTTCCAATTCTATAACATGCGTTCTAATTCTATATAAAAATCAAAATTTATCTTATCAATTTATTTTGACTAAATTTTAAAATTTCATTAATTTTATATTTGATTTCCTTTGCAGAATTGCAATTAATAAAAATAATCGAAATTTTTTTCCTATTGTTTCTCTTACAAAAAAAATTATTCAAAATTTTTTCCATTATTCCTGAAAAATTGGAAATCATTAACTTATAAACTCATGTCAAAAATAAATATTATTATTTTTTTTTCTTTGAATGAATTCAATTAAAAGCAGTGAGCTTAAAAATTAAATTTTACAAATATTTTAATTTAATTTAATTAAAAAACATTTTTTATTTACTATTTCATTATTTCAATGATTTTCTATATATATATATATATATATAAATATAGCGGGGTATTTTATTAAATAATTTTTTAATTAAAAATTCAATAGCACTTATCGAAATATTGTTTATTTTACAAAGGCTTACAAAATATATCCAATGATTTTTTTTTCCATAATATTTAAAAGCACAGGTGTATTTAATTATGACTGAATTATAATCGTTTCATAAGGATTTTAAAAATTTTCATATAAGTAAGGGTATATGTACAAATATAGGCTATTATTGATTTTTTTTTAATGCGAAATGTAAACAAGCATGACATTGTTTATCTATTTAATATTATTGAATTTTTTTAATTTTTTGTACCTATAAGTATAATAAATTAATTAGGTATGTTTTTTTTTCTAACACTTCGTCGAAAAAAATCAATTTTTAAAAGTATTCACGCGTAAGCACTTCCTAGACATGTACAATATAGTGTATATGGTAGAATTCTGTAGTATTGTTATATACGATTATGTACTACTATAATTTTTTCTGTATAATCACTCATCTATAGACATTAATATAAAATTTTGAAGCATTTTTAAATTAAAAAATAATTTAGTTAAAATATGTACACTAATTTTAAAAGATTTCACATATTTATTCAAATGGCAACGCTAGGAGTATACAGAATTGTCTGGTAGACAAAAAACATCGAAATTTACCAAAAAAAATTAGATTGTTTGAAAAGTTAATTCAACGATTTGATCTTATTGTTTCTAACTTTATGTGATACAGAAGATTATTTCTTACAAATTGCTTTCAGTTTGCGAATAGTCACACTTGTTCTTATTCAAAAACTAGACTTTTAACGATTTCCAAGAACTATATACTTTGGGAGGAAAGATGGGATACTAATAAAAATTTCGTTCTAGAGAAAGAGTACCTTCATATTAAATTACATTTCTGTAAGAAATGTTGAATTTTTTCTATAGAACGACGTAAAGCCAATAGGCCGTCAGTCAGACAGATAAGACGAGCAGAGTACTCAATTTTTTCAAAATATACGAAGAACAGTATACACCTAAAAAAAAACTTTTCAAAATATATATGTATACATTAATAAATAAATGATTAACTACATGATTTTCATACTTTACACTTATATAGCCATATATATAATCAATCGCACTCATGCTCTAGTTAAACAAAATTATAATTTACAAACATATTGTACATCTATATATATGCATATATATATTTATATATGTATATATATATATATATACTATATGAATAATGTGAAGACCGTAAAAATTTCATTGAAAATTTGTATCAACATCAAAAATTTTACAAGGTCTTCTTGTCTGGTTAGTACCAGGAAATTTTTTTTTTTTCTTAATCAGAATGAAAATTGAAAATGAAAATTAAAGTATTCAGATTAAATATTTCAAATTTCTACCTTTAATATATAAAATGATATATTATGTATATGTATATATATGTATGCATATGTAAGTACGTGCTTTTATGTATAAGTATACTTGTTTTAAAACTGTTATATTATTAAAAATTTATGTATAAAGTTAAATGAGATTAAAATATTAAAAATTAGGTTTTTCGTTAAATTTTTAAACTGGAATGTCATTTTCTATAACATGAAGATTCCCCGAATTACGACTGAAAAAGAAATTTTTACTTGTAATATTTTGTTTAATTTTTATAAAGTTTGTTTAATATTGACATTATACATACATAGGTAAAACGCATTTTGTTCATCAGGTTGCCATTGTTACAGAAAATGAATAAATAAATCGATTATTTTATGTATTTACATTTGGTATAATATTATATAGAACTTTTAATTCTCTTATACCAAAGTGTAAACTGATTTTCACATTTCATTTTATTAAAAATTTCTTTGCAATATATATATAGGTAATATACACGTATAGACAGTATTACATAGGTATCTATATATGTGTAATTAAATTAAATGAATCGGGACAACTTTACTTCCGCCTCTGCTGCCAAAGAGGAACAGAGAAAATAAATTATTATATGTAAAAAATCTTAAAATTTGAATCGATTTAGTATTTTTTTAAAATCGATTTTATTATATTTAAATATACATAAGTATATATATACAAGAATGGTGTAAGCTTATTAAATTTCTTTTAAGTATATGTAAATATAGAAATACTAAAATATTGAACGAGAACTACGACCATGTAAAAAATATGGAAATAAATAAAAAATTCAATAATTAATAATGTAGTCAATTAAAATTATTTGGTTTGTAAGATAGCACATTTTCATTTAATTATTTGAATTAAGAATTTGCATTTTATATATAAACGATATGTTATTCCAAAAATCGCTGCATTATAGCAATAGTAATTATTCCATTATTCTCCTTGAAAGTACAGTATAGATCGCACGAGTCCTTGTGGTAGCTGTCATATGAATCTCTTAAAAGTGCTGTATATACTGAAATGATCCACAAACAAATAAAGTATATGTATACTGTAAGGACTAGAAATAGAGCAGTCATTATATTAATTTTAAGTACATAATTATGATTAAACTAATCTTCATGAAATAGTTTGAGTTAATATGCCACAACTTGAATCTATTTAGACTCCTAAACTGACTTAAACCTACTCAGAGTATTTTGCTTAAACAAATTTTCTTGTTATTTTAACAATATTACTGTATAATGTTTCAGGTTGACAAAATTGTAAAGCTATATAGTGCTAATTATAATTCGAAATATGTCGAAATCTCTGCAGGATTTATCATGCAACTCCAAGAATTAACCTATTTGTGTTATATGGACCACAATGTTACTTTTATTACTGAATAGCGTATAAGTTTAGAAGGAGTTTAAAAGTAAAATTTAACAAAAAGTTAATAAGTTACTGAATGATTTTAAAATTGAACTACATTACTAATTAATTTAGTTTAATAATTTTGTTTTTATCTTATTAATTTGCGCTACAGCTTTTATGGAAAATCAATTCGGTGGAAAAATATAGATGACCGAAAACCATTATTTGCAAATGTTTTTTTTATAACTCATCAAGATATATCTTATTATTCTCGAGAAGAAAGGGGTGGCAGAGAAATATTTCTTTGTAACAAAATAGTATTTTTACCTATAAATGTTTGAACTGCTAGTATTTCAAAGGACTTCTATGAAAGATTTAAAATATTTTCCTATTTAACTTTAGACTCAAAATATCACACATGAATGCGCACAATAAACAAATCCTCCTGCTTGTTATTTCAATCAATATCGGAAAAAACAAAAGAATCTGATTCTGACAGCGTTTTACTTCAATTATAATATTGTTAAAGTTCTTTTTAAAACATCAATTTATTTTATATGCATTAAATTTTAGTAAATATAACCAAAAAATCCTATATTGTGTACATGTATGTGCATGACCTCCTAACACTATCTACTGTATATGGATAGGCATGGACAATTTTGGGAGTCCATGCATATGCTTATTATACACAATAGGATTTGAATTTTAAGTATTGGAAAATTTATTTTTTATAATTATAATTAATGACTAAATTGAAGAAGTTTTATTGCATAAAAACCACAGGAAACATTTAAATACAATATTCGTAAAATATATGATAACTATATGTATATGGAACCATTATAACGTGCAGTTAATTATCATTTGAATTACCTATATCGGACTTATTAAAAAAATAATGTAGTAAATACAATTAAATTTCTATCTTTTGAAAAAATACGTATTGTATTATACTTTTAATAATAATTTTAATTATACTCTTCTTTTTTTTTCTTTATTCAATATAATTAAGGTACTCTACTATTTTTCAAGCAACCTTTCACCAATAATTTCTCGATTTCTGTTTTAACGGACCTCTTTCATGGAAATTGTTTGAGTTGCATTCATTGTGAACCATTTGGAAAAATAAGAAAACGAAAAACTTCAAAATCTCCAGTACCAATAGCACCATCTGAATCTGTTACATCACAATTAAAATTAGATAATTCATCGGCAAATCAAACTAAAGAACCATTTAATAGTGAAAAGAAAATAACAAGAAATACAAAATTCACTTTGGATAGAATTAATCAAATTACTAGAAATTCAAAAGAATTAACAACAATTTCATCTTTAATTGAAAAATTTCGTGATGCTCAAGAGAAACAAACAATTGCTATGGAAAAAAAATATGCAACAACAAGATTTATTAATAAAACTCCAGATTATAATAATAGTGTTACATATGTAACAGCTGATATAAATCATGAAGTTTTCATACCATGTGAAGGATTTGATAAATTTTATGAAAATAATTCAACATACAAACGAAGTTTTTACAAAAATAATAAATCTGAATTTAATAATGACAAGAATACGAAAAGAGATAGTATTGAAACTGATGATGGGTATGCAACAATAAATATAAAAGAAATAGTTGATGTGAAACTGAAAGATTCAAATCAAGAGAATATAATTAGGCCACCACCAAGACGAAAGCGGCGTGTACCTCCAAAAGTACCACCTCCACCAAAAATTGCAATGAAGAAAATTGAAGATCAAAATTCAAATAATATCTATGAAGATGTTTGTAAAAATAAAAATTATGATTCAATTTCAAATACGAATTCGGAAATAGTTGAAGCAAAAAATCAAAAAAATGAAAAGATTATTATAACAATGCAACCAAAAAAAGGCTTAAATAAATTTCCAAATAAAAATGAAGAAAATAATTTTAAATTAGTAACACATAAAAACTGTGAAAATTCTATTGATAATGAAATTATTAATAGTAATGAAAATAATATTATTAATAACAATAATAACAGTAATAATTTCAATAATAATTTTGATATTAATAACGATAAAATTAATAATATAAATATTAATAATTACAATAAAGAAAATAATTTAAAAAATTTTAATAGTAATAATCAAAATACAAAAACCGTAAATAAAATATATTTAAAAAATCATTTGAAACCATACAATAATAATTATGATAATAAAACAGGGTGTTCTAATATAGACTTAACAAATAATGATAGATTAAATTTTTTGACAGATCAACAACAATATATTCAAAACAACAGTAATAATAATAATAATAATAATAATAATATAAATAATACAAATAATAAAAAATATTCTTTATCATATAATAATTTACAAACAGATATTCCGTTTAATGATGACATAGACAATAATAATAATAATAATAATAATAATGATTTAAATTATTATAATAACCGTAATAGTAATAATTCAATTAATTTATTTAATAAATATGAAAAGAATGAGTTTATTGAAAATAAAATTTATTATAAAAGTAATACAAGAATTACAAGATCAGAATTTAATTTAAAATCAAAAGGAATAGAAGATAATGATAATGATCAAGATGATAATGATGATGATGATGATGATATTTTAATATGTGAATCAATTATTCATACTATTAATACATCAAATAATAATAATGATATACAAAATATTAATAATAATGAAGATAATTTTGAAAATCTGTTAATACCTGAAAATTCAACATATAAAAGATTATATTCGGAATCATTATATGAAGATGAAATAGATAAAAAATCATTGTCTTCCATTGATATTCACTTAGAGCAAATTGCAACTTTAAAACCAGATGATAAATTTCAATTAAATTATCAAAAAATAATGCGTAGTCCTTTCATTAAATTAAAATCAATCTGTCAAAATTAAATTCTTGAATATAGCTTTTGCAGCATACACATAGGGCACGTCTATATTTCGAACTAACATTATATTCGAATACATTATGTAACAATTTCAAATTTTCAAATAAAAATTTTTATATAAATTCCTTTGAAAAAAAACTATTTTAATTTCACTACTTGTAATGTCATCAATTATTAAAGCTTTTATTGCTTTAAGTAAAGATTTATTTATACACTACTATGATTATTAACAAAATATTTTATTTTATTATCTAATATTTTTATTTGATTTAATATTTAAATATTGAAGAGCACATAATAATTAAATTATTAAATTAAATATAATATATACATAATATATATACACAAGAATATAACACTTAAAATTATTTAAATTTATGAATATTATTAAAATATTTTGATTCAAAGAGCCCCAAATTTTCAACTAACAACTTAATTAATTTCTTATTAATTCAAAGAAACTATGTATTTTTGTTAAATGAAAATTTCTTGGAATTTTTTTTTATTAAAAACGTATTCTACTATAATAATAAAATTATATTTATTCAATATTGGTCTAGAAAAAAATAATTATTAAAAATATTTTATATTTTTTTCATATATAACATTATATGTACATACATAATATATATAAAACTTCCTTTTCAAAGATAATTTCAAACAGGATTTCCAGTATTTTGATTCACAATAAGTATAAATTTTTGATTTACATATTTTCAATTAAAAATTATGTAAAACAAAGGGACGTATTAATGTACAAAAAATATTACATACTTACTTTTTCAGTTTGGTATGGGAGTAGTGTATAAATGCAAAGCTACATATTTTATTTGTAAATTCTATAAAAATTAATTTGAATTTTGAATATCAGGAATTCTATATTTATATAGCTACTATCTTACTCTGTATAGTGATGAAGTTAGTATTGTTATACAATGCTTTAACTATTATACGTTTAGAGTATAAATAATACGTCTAAGAGGAACATCAGCAATAATGTTTCACTTATACAATATAATGTAATTAATTACAGTAAAAAAAAATCTTGAAAAACTAATATTCATCATAGATTGGAAATATTATTTATATGTTCAAAATTTACTTAGCATCTGTATAAACACTATGAAATAATAAGAAAAGTTTCAATTCTATTCATATTCAATAAACATTTCTTAACGAGAAATTTTATTGTTTTTCATTATTTAGAATAAAAAAATTTAGCACCAACAAATATTTTAATTGCTCATAGAGTTTTCGTTACACCGAATTGATATTTCCATTTTATATAAGATTTCCATAAACATACATATTAAACTATGTATTTGCGTTGGGTTTAAATGAATGTCGTGCCTTTCAAAATAGTTTTCAATTACAATTGAACCTGTGTGAAATGAAATCCAAAGTTATTTAAATTTCAATTATGTTGATTTTTTGTTCTGTTGGGATTCTGTTACTTTTAATAGTTATTTCTTGGGTTTAAAAAACAAAATAAAGGCTCACATTATTGAATAGTGTCATTCATAAAAATTTTATAAACGAGATTATTAAAAGAGCTTACAGAGCTTTACTAATTTATTAAATTAGAAAATATATTAATTCCCAAAAAAAATTTGTAACACCAATAAAGAATCAATAATTATTAATTATAGTAGATGATTATGAGAATAAATCGGCAAATTTCTCGAAGTTGTCAAAAAATAAATAAAAATCCGAAATTTTTCGATCAAACTAGATTTTTTTACTATACAATATTAATTGATTTCTTTTATTTTAATATTCTGGTTAAAATTTTTTTTTATATTCATTATTCATTGAATATTTAAAGCTTCTCCGTAGGGTAAACATTCCTTAAAATTCAAAATTAATTTTTTCTTTATTATTATCAAAATTCAATATACATAATACATATTTGTTTATTATATACATACTATGATACAAATAAAATACAAGTAAATTTTATTAATGCAAGCAAATAATTTAAGTTTTATTATTTATTAAATTGTTACCATTTTATTATTTGTGTATGTCCACAAATGGATGTTGCATGTTATAAATTAAATTTTAATATTCCAATTTACCAGCAGTCATTTTAAAACATGATACTCTTATTTATTTATTTATTTATTTATGTGAATAAATTTGCCATCCAACACCTAGATATTTTTGTAATATTTATTTTTGTATCATTCAATATTAAAATTTTATTTAAAATTTTAATATATAAAAAAAAATTCATTTTAAATTTTAATACAAACAAAAGTTTATACTGCAGTTTTATGCAAAATTTTATAATAAATTAATTATACAAGAGTAAGTGTTTGTTCATAATAAATACAAAGTGTACACTATGTATGTACAATAAATTTAAACAGAAATTCATTCATTGATTAAAGGATTTATTTTTTTTATTTGTATTGAAATATTTTTTTTTTTTTTGGTTGATATTAAATTAATAAGCGGAAATTATATGATTGTACGGAAGTCATATTAAATGAAATAAATGAATAACAGACAAAAACGAGATAACGAGATGCAAGATTAAATTAAGTTTTTTTTTAATAAAATTTTGAAAATGTGATTGAAAAGAAAATTTATATAAGAAACATATACAAGAATATGGTATATATGAGATTTACCAAAACTATTTTTTTTTTTTCAATATAACAATTTTATTTATTTATTTTATTATTGAAATATTATACATGCTATGAAATTGAATTATAAGAAACCCTCACGAAAAAAATTTCAGGTAAAAATAAACATTTTAAAAGAAAAAATTTAAATAATATTGAAAATTGAATTAAGAAATTACCACTCTCAATTTAGACTTTAGGTTGTCCAAATTTTAAAGTTTTAAAAAATATGAAAAACCAATTTTTATGTTATTTCCAATGAAATTCAATTGCAGTCTTCTACGAAATTAAATATTGAATTTTTTTAAGGAATTTTTCAATTAAAACCAATAATATTACAACACATTACCCAGCGCTTTGATTTTTAAAAATGATTTGGATAACCTCATACATCATTTATAAATAAACGAAACCAGTTTTCTATAAGAAGAAAAAAATGTTAATTGCAGTTGAATGCAAAATTAAATGTCTTATAAACGAACTGTACAGTAAATAATTTTTTATCTAAGTATAGCCTGTGCAGGTTGTTTATTTCAGAATTAAAAGTAATCTCTAATTAAAATTGTAAAATAATTTTTTCAACTACAAACAATTTTTATATGCGAGTTGCAAGTTTTATATAAGCTAGCAATCCAAAAAAAAAAATTTATTTCGTTT